AGAGAGATAAAAAAAATAAATCAATGGAATTGGACAGTGTGCAACCTTTTGTGTTCAGGTCGTTTTTCTCAGCGCAATGTTTTCGAGATGCATCCATGTTGTTGCACGTAACAGTTATTGGCTTGTTCATCCGGCTCGATCGTGTTCCGTGGGATGCGTTATATTTTGTGGATTGCCCTTGACGTGATATGGTAAATGAATTCTCCTTGAGGGGGACAAAGAGATTGAATCTCTTCTAATGGCCAGAATTTTCAGCTCTCTGCAATTCCTACCTGGAGACTCAGCACTCCTGCCACCTTTTCCAGAAAGTCTCTCTGATCCCCCACTTGTTGACAGGGTCTCACTCTGTTGCCCCAGGCTGGAGTGCAGTGGCCTCATTATAGCTCACTGCAGCCTCCAACTCCTGGGCTCAAGTGATCCTCCTGCCTCAGCCTCCCGAGTAACTGGGACTACAGACGCCACCACCATGCCTGGCTAATTTTTCTATTTTTAATAGAGACAGGGTCTCGCTCTTGCTCAGGCTGGTCTCGAACTCCTGGCCTCAAGCGATCCTCCCGCCTCGACCTCCCAGAGTGCTGGGATTGCAGGCATGAGCCACCACGCTCAGTCCCATATGTGCTACTTGCAGGGCACGTAAAATGAGTGTTCTTGTCCTCAGGGAGACAGCTTAACCTCTAAGCACCCAATTCTCAGCACTTGTTATGAAACATGAGCTTTTACTGTTGAGATCGCAGTTCGGACTCACACCCTCCACCCATTCTGTTTCTGCACTACCAAGCGCATTTTGCCTTGTAACCTCTCTCGGTGACATATCTTGCCACTTATCATTGGTTCCAATAACATTTTTCTTAGTACATCTGTTCCCTGGTTCCAGGGACTTGGGTGTCTCCTAAATTGCTCCTCCAGGAAATAAATTTCTAATGGCTTTTTTGATAGATTCAATCCAAGGTGACATTTATCTTGTTTCGGCACAAGCTGGTCTCAATATCATACGGGGACATTGTTCCAATCTAGAAGTGAACCGAGAACTTTTATCTCTCTCACCTGGGCAAGGGATTAACTGAAAGAACGTCTGAACCCACCGATTTGGAAAGCAATTTATCCCTATCTTTCGTACCCTGTGACCTAGCAATGCTACTCCTAGGCACATAACCTAGGGAAACTCTTCCCGTGTGCAAACAGGAGTCACATATTAATGCAATAATGTTCTCAGTGGCCAAAATTTGCAAGTTGGCTGGGCATGGTGGCTCACGCCTGTAATCCCAGCACTCTGGGAGTCTGAGGCGGGAGAATTGCTTGAGCTCAGGAGTTCGAGACCAGCCTGAGCAAGAGCGAGACCCCATCTGTACTAAAAATAGAAAAATGATGGTGGGCACCTGTAGTTCCAGCAACTTGGGAGGCTGAGGCAGGAGGATCCCTTGAGCCCAGGAGTTCGAGGTTGCTGTGAGCTAGGCTGACACCACAGCACTCAAGCCCAGGTGACAGAGCAAGACTTTGTCTCAAAAAAAAAAAAAAAGTGATGGAGAAAAGTTAATAATGCAGATTAAATTTTAAAGTGTGTCATGACTGTAGATGTTAGAATGTGAACAGCACACACACAAAAATGAGGTAATATTTTTCCAGTATTGAAAAACTATCTGATTCATCAAAGAAGTCATTTACATTATTGTGGCCATATGAAATTCCAACGTATGTGTTCATTTCACCTTAGTAACATAAATGAAAATAGCACCAACATTTATGTCAGAACTACACCCATTCAGTTATTTGCAATTGTAGGTTGACTATGGGTACAAGAGTTTTGCAAAAATCAGCAAAACCCTTTTGTGAGAATCAAATGGCTGTATAGAATTGACAATAGAGTATTGTATGTTTCATTTGTGTTTCATTACTTGTAAATTGAGTGCTGCACATTCTTTATATCAGTAGCATTTATTTATTTATTTTAGAGACAGGGTCTCACTCTGTTGCCCAGGCTGGAGTGCAGTAGTGAGATCATAGCTCACTGCAGCCTCCAATTCCTGGGCTCAAGGGATCCTCCTGCCTCACCCTTCCAAGTTGCTGGGACTACAGGCGTGTGCCACCAAGCTTCAGTAGCATTTATAACACACGTACACACACAATTCCCCTCCCCAAAGAGCTGGCTGTTAAAGCTGACCAGCACACCATTTCCTTTATTCGCTGGGGAGTTGAGATAGTCCTTTGCCAACGTTCACGTATTCATTCAACAAACATTTATTGAATATCTACTTTGTGCCAGGCAGAGAGACATATCCTAGTGCGTATGGCTGTTCACTAATTATTTCACTCAACAAAAGTGTCTTACAGTCCTTCCACGCATGGACATCAGTCCAGCTCTTAACTCCTTAGAGAGAAGGATGGGTGTAGGGTGGGGAGAGACCAAAAGCATGTTCGAAATACTCATTTTACAGCTATGCAGAAAAGGATCCGCGTAGACGAACGAGAACTGTGAGAAAATGCGGGGAAAAAAATGAAAGGGCTTGATG